CCAATAACGTATTGGTCCCGCTACAATGCCAAAACGTGATTGAACTCCAAATGCACATTCAACGTCTTTTCTACATGCTTCTTGCTTCATTGCAAAATATCTTTTCTTCTAACCACGTGGCTCATGAATTGTTTGCACAATAGACTATTTTGGATATATGCTATCAGCTAAATAATAGCCCATGTTATATTCTTTTCCTTGAATTATATAATGAGCTGGAGGAGCAATAACTTGAGTTAGATTCGAGAAAAGATGAGATGATTCTAGCACGCTGATATCGTTGTTAGAGCCCGACAAACCGAAATAAGCATGTCATATCCATATATCATAATCTGCTACAACTTCAAGAACGATTGTAGGTTTTCTACTACGACCAGCATATTGTCCGACCCATGTTGTAGGGAACTTTTTCCACATCCAATACATGCAATTTAAACTCTCCAACATTCCTGAAAAACCACGTTGTTGACCAATATATAGAAGTCAAGAAATACATCAGATGTGGGCCTCCGAAGATATCGCTCGCTAAATACCTCAACTATTGCTCGACAATACTTTCAATTGCAGTGGACTCACTAATTTTGATATACACGTCTGCAGCATCAGTTGGAACACCGAATGCCAACATACAAAAGACAACAGTCATTTATTATATTGGAGATAATCTAAGTCTGCTAGCTCGATCCACACGTTGTTGGAAGTAATGATCATGATCTTTGACTTCATCGACAATTCGTAGGAACAACGAGCGAGACATTTGGTATCTTTTACGAAACATGGTCTGGTTATACAATGGATTGTCAGAAAAATAATCATTGTGCAACCTTCGATCAGCAGTCTCTCGATCACGATTAGTAAAAATATGTCAGGAATAGAACCTCCATGGGAGGCTTGGTGATTTTGTTGTTGGAGAAGGTATTGAATGATCATGTTGTTATTAGCGAAAACACGAGTTATCACTTCTAGTTTTAAATGAAGAGCATTCATAGTTAGCATTCATAAATAAAAGATTCGTCTAGCAAATATCAATCGAATTATGGTTCCTATTTGTCGTCAATCAAAATAATGAAAAAGAACTATCTTATCGGTTTGATAATTGACTCAATCTAAAAAATTGAAGAAGATAAGCAGTTATATCAGACAACTGATTAATTTTCATTTGAAATTAAAATGGATCATCACAATTAATACCAGAAGATAAAATGTAGAAGCAATAATCAATAATTATTCAAAGCGGGTGGAAGCAAAATGAAAAGTATGAAAAACAATAAAGTTAAACGACAACACTATTAATAACTAGAAAATTGCTACAAGTACATAATATATGTACATAGAGGTGTAAATGACACTCACATGGAGTGGGATACACTTAATTTTTTTATTTTTTGTAGGACTCATGTACACCTTTATGTAAATTATTATGTACCTATAACATTACTCTAATAACTATTTCAGAGAATAAAAATGACAGTTGTCACTTGCCACTAAATATGTGTTAAGTATTCGACAACAAAATAAGGATAAAATTACAAAATATATTCAGTATTTTATAGTAGATGACATTTTTTCTCAATAATTTTTGTACAAAAAATCAATTAACCAGTCAAGTAGCATATATTTTGCCAAAACATGCATGTTATTTCTTTATAATTTTATGCAGATAGTTAATGGTAGTTTTAGTCTAAATTTGCATTTTAATGTTATACTGATTTTTATTAGTCAATGGACTTTTGTGCAGCTACAAAAAAAAATTTTAGAAATATTTTCATTTATTGGGTACATTTGCATCTTGGCTTAAACAAAAAGGTAATTTCAGACAAACAATATTAATTTAAAAAATGAATCTTTGTATACCAATTTTTCCATGTACACTTTTATATCAATATTAAAATTATATTAAACTATTTTTTAAATTTTGATATGTTTGACCCAATTCATTATTTAATGGTCTTGTTTTGTTTCATTAATTTAACATAATAATGCAAAAAAAAAATAAAACAATTAAAAGGTAAAAAACCTAATTTTAAATCATAAAAAATTATAAATTATGTATTACGTGCACAAAGTACAGTTAAAATGTACGCAGATTTGTTGAAAAATATAACTTTCTAGTTGTTAGGTCTAGTAACAATAGCTTTATTGGTTCGTTATTTATCTAAAGAGAAGAAAAAAAAAATCTGAAAAAACAAACAAACAAACAAATAATCAATCTGTTTACATATGAATTTGTCTTGTGTCACTTGCCATGTATGCATCAAAACAAGAACAACACCCCTGCAAACACTCTTCACACCACCGAAAAAATCAAATAAATAATAAATAAAGCCTAACACTGCAATTTCTATCGATTTACACCCAAAAATAAAACCAAGAGAAACAACCCATCAAAAGCTCAATCCATATGCCTAATAACTTGCAATTCATCACAACCTACAAGCACTATGGTGTCTCCAAACAGTGCTCTCGTGTTGACGAGGCAAATAGGAGGGAAAATTTAAAGTAACCCGGACGAAAATCAATTACTATCGCCCGAGCAAATTTTGACAAAAAATATACAATGGAGATGTTGGACACAACAATAAACATTCGAAAAAGCATGCACAAACGAATGCAGCACCTGTGCTTCACGTTTGGCAACGAGTGCAGGATTTTAGGACATATCATAAAGCAAAATCATTTATCTGATCTTTGATGTAAGAACACAAACCCTGAGTTTTCTCGGATTAAAGGGGGAGGCTCGACATCAGCTACATCTATTTGTTGCATGGNTCTGTGACAAATGGAAGTGGCATTAATTCACAAAATGCCTGTTGTACCGTAAAAATGTCAAATATTATTCAGAGGGAGAATCGAGTTTCTATTAGTACTTCAGTAACTGAAAATTGAAACATGGTAAAGAATACTAACCTTGAGTCATCGTCTAATAGAAACGAACTGCTTACTGAATTGTTCGAGTCCTCTGTCATCATAACTCTCATACTTGAGATGACCTATATAAGTGGTTAGGGATAGAACTATATAAGCGAACAGGTCAAAAGAAAAATGACATAAAAACTTAATGTTACAGCATTGTGGAGGGAAACACAAGTTAAAGAACTAACTTACATCTGAAGAAACACTGTGAGTGCCATATTTGTCATCCCAGTACATGGTGCTAATCCTGTACAACTGCTGGATGCTTAGCACCTGTAAGAAATATGAAAATTGTTTAGAATTTAGAATGAATAAAGAGAGAGAGAGAGAGAGAGAGGGAGAGAGAGAGAGAGAGAGAGAGAGAGAGAGATGGTTGCAGGGATTCACTCACAGGACAAAGTTCCTTTGTAATTTCATTCAAGGTCTTCTTGGGTTTTTGATGGATGACCTGAAATAGTCATTAGACGATCCATTTATTTAGATCAGCTAATTTAATAAACACAAAAAAATATAACGGCACATAAATCGTCCAGACTAGGGATGGAAAGTGAATTTTGGTACCCACCAAAAATCCTACTGCCTGCCTGATGTGCTTCAATTCATCCCAAGCTGAGCCTACGTACTGTAAAACATAATTTGTTGGTAAGGCACGAATTGAGGTCTCAATAACCGAATACTTAATGAAAGGCTTACTTCCTCAGTGGCGTAACAACACCATTGTTCTAACTCAGCTAACCCAGCTTTCACATACTCCCCGTTGCTGAATGAGCAACACTCGCGCCGTAAAAGAAGACTGAGCAGTTTGAAAGAAAATAAAGTTAAACGCAAATACTGGAGAAAATTTTCACATAGGCACCACTAAATACTAGGCTATATATATGATTTCCCTAAAAGACGAACTTGCCTGTTGAATAATTGAACATTGATAAATGAGAATGTTTGAGTGAAAACCTTTCGGACCAAGAAAGCAGGAACCTGTAAAGACGTAAGAGCAACAGAAAAAAATTAGAACTGAGAAGAAAAAAGGGGAAAAAAAAGAAAGCAAACATTGAATCAAGAAAAAAAGAAAATCTTATATTACATAATTTGCTTTCATAATCTTCAAGCAATTGTCCAGGCTTTTGACAATGCTCTGCCAATGAGCAATTAGTGCTTGTTGCGCAACAGCATTTGCTTGTGAACGTCCTTTCACTAAGCTAGCACGGGATGTTCTGGGGGCCTGCAAGAAAGTAGGTATTGAAACCCAACGTACATTAGTTGTTTGCACAACAGAAACCATAGTTTTCTACTCTTCAAAACAATAATGAATTTGACAACGAGTTCTTGAGCTACAAAAATCGCTCAATCAGCTGTTTGCTCAAATGAAATCACAAATTTATCCCCCGTCTTTCTCAGTATAAATGGATAAATGCGTTAAAACACTTGGGTACGTATGGGATAAAAGAAAAGGATGAACCAGAAAATATTACGCAAATTAACCAAAATAGACAAAAAAAAGAAGCTCGTCATTGGAATAGGAAAGTATTCTTGTATCCTTTTGTTGTATTACGATTTCCTTATATCTTTCACATCCATATACACATGAAAGACCGAGCGAAGGAAATATAGCATATAGAATTCATGAAGAGAAACCATTATTGCATGTGTGATTTATTGCTAGAGTTACCTGGATACATAAACCAAGCAGAGGGGAGATCTCTTTCTTCAAGTTATCCCTGATCAATCCATATATCTTCTCCAGGAAAGCAGTAAGCTGTTGCTTGAATAACAACGCAGGATACTTGGCTTCGACCTGTCTCAAGTCATCAAGTCTACCAAGCAGCCGGCTGTTGAGAAGTGAACTCTGTGGAGATGCTCTTAAACCCTACAAATGTAATATCAAAAAAAATAAACGCGTAAGAAATTTAAAAAATAAAAATAAAATGTTGTAGCAGGTCACATCGATAGGCAAGTTATAAAGGATAGGTCCATACCTGTGACATCCGCCCAAAAAGAGAAGCTGATGATGTTCTTCGTCTTTGGGGGGTCAAGCTAGCTGCCCCAGTTGCTTTGAGTGTGTGTTGAAGCAGCATCAACAATGTGGATGCATTACATAACCAGTAGGCTAATACATCATTGTTATCAGGGACCTTCAATAGGGTTTCAAATATTTAGTGTTCGCAATGGTGGGATTGACAGTAATTGCATTTTCCAAAAGTTAGTGTGTTTGTGTGTGTGTGTTTACCTCTACTGCTGAAGCTATAGTTTGAATTATGCGGTCAAACACACCAGTCCTCTCAACCTCAAATGACCTCCAGTGGAGAAGGCTTTTATAAATGACACAAGCGGCAACTGGTTTGCCACTCGAAAATCCCAAATCTTGTGAAATGCACTTTATCAGGACATCCTGGTTTTCCTAATGAAGACGAGCAGATTTTGATATATGCATTAGACAGAATTATTAATTTCGGGGTTGGAGAAGATAAAAATTAACAGAAAGTGGCACAGCGTAATTTTATTTTTGATATGAACAAGCAGGTACTTACTTGCTGCTTGTCATTAAGAGATTTCTGCGGCTTTTCCTCAGACTCAGGCTCCTTTGGATTGGCCACAACAAGGGCAGAGTCCTACGGTGAGCAACAACGGACAAGCATTTAAAAACTAAAGCTAAATATTTACACAAATACATCATCTTCAGATTTCCAAATCAGAGCAATAACACTGTCTTACATTTGCAAGCTTTGTTTCTCCATTTAGAATATTTCCATTCTCGGGAGTTCTCTGTAATGTCACCGGGAAAGATAAGAATATCTCAATCACCAAAAGGTGTATATAACAAAGTATATAAGCATTACCTGAATAATAGTCGTCCTAGGCCGGGCAGACATAGATCTGCCTGTAGGTGACATGGTTAGAGCTTGTTGACGAAGTACTTGATTCTCTGACTCAAGGTTTGACAGTTTCTCTTCAAGCCTGACATGAGAAATTAAACAATCACAAATAAATAATAACATGGAAAAAAAAAATTGTAGGTAAGTAAACTTTGGGTGGCAGTAGTTTGTTTTTGTTTAGGGAGCTGACTGGAAATTTTCTATTTTTCCCTTTCTTTTGAGTTCTGCCCGGGAGCAGGAAAATTGTTACCTCTAAACACTGCATGACTTATAACATGAAAAAGGACAAATAGAGAGAATATTGATGGTTTTATATGTTGGGAAACATTGATTCCAAACTAATTATTACGATGGAGCACTGAAGAAGAATAATAAATATTACTTTTTACCGGCCAAATGCAACAATCAGCAAAGAAGCTCCACGCACACACACACACACACAAATTAGATAGATATATAGATGGAGAGAGAGAGAGAGGTCATTCCCCTGCCAAATCCCATGACAATAGAAAGAAAGAATGAACTATGACCAAAAAGAACAATGTTTTTAGACACCTGATCAAAATAAATGCTCATACGGTTCCAACTTTCACTTGGTGTGCATACCTTTGTGCAGATTCTTGAAGCTGATCCAATTTCCCCTCAGCTTGCTCTAGTTTTTTAACCAAATCCATATTTCTGGCCTCAGCATCTGCAGCAGCACTTTTAGCTTCTTCTGCAGCCTGCTTTTCTGACAGCAGCAAAGACTGCACAGCATATAGAATAGGGTTACAGTAGTGATTCCATACCCTGACAGTCTGACTCCATCTTTTAAGCATTTAAATAATGAATAATCTAAAGAATGAGAATTATCATTAAGTTCAAGAATGTTAATTATGTAAATCCATTTGGTTTATAGCACAATACAAAATTGTTGCAATAACAAGAAAGCCCTTATTCTGTCGTCATTCGTAATCAGTCATAGCCACTTAAGTAACTGTTGCATAAATATCCATGGAGATGATAGCTTTACCGACATTCTGCCAATTGAGGAAGTATTAGCTGTGTGATGCTAGCCTTACTCTCTTAAACAAAGTTTGAAAAAATATATAAACAAGCCATAGAGAAAAAGATGCTGTAGTGTTGATATTTCATATACAAGCAATTCTTCTTGTCTAGGAAAAATTTTACCTTCAAACTTTCAACTTCAGCTGTTAATGCATCAATCTTTGCTGTATCTTGGACCATGACTGGGGTTTCTTTAATGACTGGTGGAGCTTCTTCAATTGCTTTACGTGCCGCTTCTCGTTCTTTTATCACTCTAGCATTGGCTTCTTCCAATTGTATTTGCATTGACTGCAATGCATCCTGTAACTTTGCAATATCTTGTGCTTTTGTTTCCTCCAGCTCAGTCTAAATTCGAGTAACAAATGAAAGAAGAGTCTGTCAGTCAAGTTAAGAAATCACGAGTGATAGATCTCTGAAATTTTTGGCAAAAAGGTTACCCTCAATCGTTTCTCAAACTGCAAGCGCCATGTAAGCTCTTCTACTTTCTTTTCTAGCTTGTCCTTGGCTTCTTTTAGGGCCCCTGTTTCCCTTGCAGCCTGAGCCAATACATAAGCACGGTTACATATGGTGCAATAAGACACCTGCTTTCCAGAATGAAAAGGCATAACAAGCATAGTTAAGAACCATTTTCAGATTTCGAAGCTCTCTCCTAGCAACACGTCGCCTCCAACCACATTGGGTAACAATTGCAGCCTTTTGAAGGCTTCTATAATAAGAATATTCTCTGTGACAACGCATTTGGGCCTGAAAACAAGCAATAAAATTATCAACTCTGTCAACTCTTACACGCTCCAGGTTCATAAATCTTAATTGAACTTCTGCAGTACGAACTAATACAAGGACCTGAATTTTGATAGAAGCCTTAGTCTGTTTCCTGAATCTGAATTCATTGCGAGCAGTCATTGCCCTCATGCCAGTCTGCACTATGATGGCAGAATTTTGCAACGTTGAGTAGGATACCCTGGCAATGTAGCATCTGAAGTTCTTCTGAATCTTGATTGCAGCAGCTTCTTGTCGCAATTGCTCATAAAGATTGAGAGCCGATATAGCTAAGAAAGGCAAAAATGAAATTAGAGTTTTAACCTGGAAGTTTATTTTACTGATAGCCAAATAGTTCATTTATCAAAATGTTTTACTGATTAGACAAGGATACCAAGATATCAGAGAATCTTAAAGTTTGAGTCAAGCAGCAGATATGCAAATGCCTATGGTCAATTGGTGCAATGTGCAGATAGCATTGGACTGGTAGAGTTACACCCCAAAAAAAATATTTCCAATTCTAGATAGTGTATTTTGAAATCATATAATAATTTTGTTGAATATACCTACCTCATTCGAAGACTTTAGTTTCTAGGGAAATGGTAAACCATTTGAGTGTAATAAATATAAATCTAGGCACCCCCAATCATGAGCATAACACTACGATGAACCTGGCATGTTAAAAATTTTGCAAGGTTGATGTTGATATGGATTTCAAGGCACCGTGTTTTGCCCGGGTTTGATCCCATATCACGTAATCAACTCATTTAAAAAAGCTTAAACTTTAGTAACTATAGAAGTCCAATTACTAGCTAACAACATATGCACATTCTTTCCAAGAAGAGTTACCTCGCCAACATGATTGCAACTGAATAGCAGCTCGGCGCAAAACAACGAAATCTTTCCGTGCAATATAAGTACGGATTTGCCTTTGAATTGTTCTGGCTGCATTTCCAAGAACCTCAGCTCTCCTAGCATCTAGCTCAGCCATCTGCCCAGCTCGTAGAAAGACCTTTGTCTTACCTAACTGCGAACCAAAGCACAAAGAGATGATATCATGAACAACAAATCTTACCCTGCAAACTGTAAGACTGGCCTATCAACATGCATAGCACATTTTATATTTCTTAACCCTGAACTCTGAAGTAGAAGTTATTGGTATCCTTGAACTACATCCACACTTATATGTCTGTAGTTCAAGCCTGACAATACCATACAGCAATGTCTAGTCCAAAACAGTTGGTAAAATAATGCAGTAACATTTAAATATACACCATATGTAATATACCAACCTGGTAGCCCTTTAGTCCCATCTTATCCAAAATCACCAGGCACGCAGCCTTGTCATCGATGCTACAAGAAAAAAATAATAGGCTTATTTGCAAGCAACACAGAGTATGTAAAATGAAACGTGAAGACAGGTAAACATAAGCCAGGCAGATAATGTGCGAAGTTCAAAAAAGAATTGATTTCGAGCACCAGAAGAACTTACTTCCCGTCCAAAACTTCAGGAGCAAGAACACCAAATCGGAGAAGGAATTCATCAAATGTACGTCTGGTGGGGTATCCAGCACAGCTGATTCTAATAGCTTCAAGAACACCCTATGTCATATAGAGAATTTTAGCACATATTCAAAAATTAAAATATAACAAATTGCACACGCTTCATCGTGAAACCTAAAAACACGATATTGAGATTTACAAGAAGATTTTCACAAGATACTTACACCACATCGCAGTTGCTGAATTATGTTAAGATTCTCAAAAATGGCTGGCTTGAGAACATTGTTTGGTTTCACACATCTGATGTAATGGGGTTCTGTTGAATTCAACGTCTCCATTAAAGATTGTAGTTGCAGCTGCGAGCATAAAATATAGTTCATAAGCACCATGCACTTAATGTTGCCGAAATAAGTTGAAACTGCAACCAATGATTCAACATATGCTAAGGAACATTCGATACAAATGAGCTATTTTTCAGTTTTTCATAAAGTGAAACCAGACAATTAGAAATTTAGCAGATGCTCATTATGTTGCCTGAACACATGTCAAGGAAAATCCTGAATCAAATATATCAACACTCTTTATTGACATGGAGTGACTATTCACTGTGCATAACCAAACTTTCACATCAGGATGCTGTCTCAGGGGGAAAAAAAAAAAACCAAAGTTTCACCATAAATCTAATTTAGCAAATTCCTTGTTTACGATAGTCAGTATATTCAATCTTGATACCATTTCTAATAATAGTATTACAGATGTTCAAATCAAAATGGGACTAGCAGTTTTAGTGCTGGTACAAGTACCAGTTCGATACTTGGAGGACCTTTCATTTCATATGAAAAGCACAGATAAAGACAGAAAATTAAGGTTCACGGAACAGTGAGGGTAGAACCTTAAAACGTGACCCTATCGAGGAAAACTTGGAGGACTTTGATGATTCTTCAGGAAGAGCGGGAAATAAACCAGCTACAAAAGAGCACTTTGAAGCTGTTAATAAGTCTTGATGTTCGGCCACCACATAATCTTTGTTCTTATCCAGGAACAGATCTGCCAAATATGTGACCTATAAATACCGAAGATGGTTAACAATTTCCTTAGGAAACAGTGGTCTTCTTATCCAAACGTTTTTTCTCTATATGCATCTTTACCTCCCCTGCATAGTGAGCTATGGTAAAATTGGTTCGTGAGAGTTTCGGCTTGATGAAGCGCTTATGTTTGGCAAATGTCTGATATAACTTCTGAGCAAATGTTTCATGAGTAGATTTAGGAAACATACTGCCACAAAGAACAGTATCAACAATAAAAACACACTTAGAGGAAAACTAACAAGAACAAGAAACAATTTGAATGTATTTGACATGATCATTGATCATAAGAAAATAAGAAGACAAGACGAAGGATTATAAAAACGTAGCAGCTTAGAGATGGAGGATGTGCATGAAAAAATGTGAATGTTTACAGGAAATAGTGGAACAACTGAGGATAAAACAACATATCAGACGACATACCAAGCTTCATCGAGCAGTGCAATTATTCCTCCTGGTTTCTGCCAAAAAATCAATAAAATATTACTTGCGAGCACTATGATAGATGAAACAGTCTAATAATCCAAAAATATTGCAAATTCAGCATGCATGCGAAACTTGACCAATGATATACTTAATGGAAATATCTACATGAAGCAACGGAAAATGTAATAAACAAATATAATGCCCTTAGTCTCTCTAACCTTCTCAATTAAATCAAGAACATCTTGGTTATCAACAAACTCAATGTAGCTCCAGTTTATCTGTTCTTTCTCATAATCTTCTTGTTCCATCTTGAATACATGCTGAAAATTTTAATGTGACCTCCAGTGAGAAGATCAAGTTATTGTATTATAAATTAGAGTAAGCCTTCATACAATAATGTAAATGGACCTGGTTGAAATGCTGCTGCAATTTTTCATTGGTGAAATTGATACAGAACTGCTCAAAGCTGTTTTACATGTAAAGAATATCAGGAGAAGCACCAATGCCTTAACTTGAACTGAAAATGAGAACACAAACGGGAGATTACCTGTTGTGCTTAAAACTTTCAAACCCGTATATGTCAAGTACTCCTATTATTGCTTTTGAGTTGGGGTCTTGCCCAATGGAGTTATTTATCTTTTCCACAATCCTGTTAGCAATAAAAAACAACAGTTCAATATTAAATTGCACACACTCATGACCAAAACATTGCTGTAGAGCCACAAGTTAGATTACTAGGAACTGTTCATACCAATCGAACAAACGAGAATATATTGTCTTTGCCAAAGCATCCCTGCTTCCCAATGCAGCTTCTGGATCAAGAGTTCTTGTGATAACTTCCTCAGGTGTCACCATCACTCGCTTAATCAGTGCATCTTCTAAGCTAATCGGATCACACCTATTGAATCAAATTCATCAAATAAAATTAATTGTAAATCAGATAGAAACCTTTATTCAAAATCGATGGAAGATATTATTCCTACTTGAGTAATTCGGCAGTTGTATTGAGATGAAGCCTTGACTTCTCATCCTTAATCACAGAAGAATCAATTTCCTTTCCTTTGGAAAATTCAATATTACCAAGATGAAGGATTGATGCAACAACCCGGAATATAGCATCCTGAAACAAAATGAATCAATCAACAAGCCGTTAAAATCCCACTAAGTGTGAATCAATCAATCAATCGACAAGTCGTTAAAAAAATGAATCAATCAATCAATCCTGAAAAAATGAATGATTTTGGCAAATTTATGTAGTAAAAATAAATGTTGAATGCTTGACTAATTAAGTCATTTTTAGGTTAACCTGCTCTTCCTCACTGATCCCAACTATATCCATAGCTCTTCTGGTTGCAAGGTATTCCTCAGTATCACTTACTCCCTCGAGTTTATAACACTTAGACTGGTTAAGGTAATGATATGATTCTGGGTTTCCCAGCTTATACTTCTCTCTTTCCTGCAGAATAATAAAGACATAAAATGATGTCAAATATTAAAGCACATCCAGCGATATGTGGATTAAAGCTTTTATATAGTTAGGAACTAAAATACAAGGAAAACTCCAAACAGATACCTCAGGTGGTGCGGCACAGAGAAGATAGAAGCAATGATAGTTTCTTTCAGGATCAGAGATTTGACAAACACGAGATCTCTCCAACAAGTAAGTTCTAACAGCTGCTCCAGATATTCTACCACTTTTGTCAAATTGGATTTCAACGAATTTACCAAAACGACTGCAAAACACAACACCATGTATATAATTTCGGTATGTTATAGCTAACATTTCATAGGATATCCATTTATTAAAATGATCATCCAAGTATCACTAGACAAATAAATTCTTTCTGATGTTAATGAAAAACTATGACATTCACTTGCCTGGAATTGTTGTTCCTGACAGTTTTGGCATTTCCAAATGCTTCAAGCACTGGGTTTGACTGTAATTATTATTAACAAGAAAAACCAAATGAGAGAACAGTTGTTTCATGATTAAAATTTGTTTCAGATTCATTTATTTTCAATTTTCTTTTGGCAGTTTGGCAGAACAGTGGTCATCATCCAACTAAAATGTCAATCTTACTTCTAAAACTTGTTGTTCAACTGTCCGTCCTTCGACTCCAGAACGACCACCCAAGTGTGCAAGATATCTCATCAGCATTTTCGTCGTTTCAGTTTTACCAGCACCACTTTCACCGCTAACTAAAATGGAGTTGCTCTTTCCTTCGTTGATCATTGCCCTGATGACAAAACGTAACAGGTTAAAAAGGAAGTGATGGCCCATCTCAGCCCAACCAACTTACCCCTCAAACACACAAATCATGAATAAGTTTATTTTGCATGTTCCAAGAAATACCTGTAAGCAACATCCGCAATCGCAAAAACATGAGGACTAAGCTCGCCAAGGGATGCCCCTTTGTATTGCTCCATCATGTGAGTATCATATAGATGCGGTAGTCTTTGGAAAGGATTTATTGCGATCAGAATATTCCCAGTATATGTCTGAGAAAGAAGTATTTTACATTGACAATCATAAGATAGATATGTTATTCACGGAAGGAGCAACTAAGAAAGTTAACAGGACAGCCAACCTTTGCAGCACTTTAAGTAAGAGCATGCAGCTACTAATAATAATCATAATAACACAAATAACTTACATATATTTCATTAAGTTCATATCTAGTAGCCAGGTTTTGCAGAACTCCAGGTTCATGCAAATATGAAAGCTTAGTCATATCATCTACACCTCCAGGTGGTGCTTCAGTGTCCTTTGGAAACACTTTTGCAATGTTTGCAACGACCTGCATTCTAGAGTACATTAGATTTCCCATCTCAACCACCAAAAAATTCCAAGCAATAGCAGCATGAGTTAGAAAAGTACCACAATGTAATATGAGAGAAATTTTATGAATCCAAATATAGGGTGTTTGCTTAGAAACGACAAAACGTACTTGGAGACATCATCATTCGTCAAGATTAAACAATAATATGCGTAAGAAAAAAAGAATATTGGAAAAACAGTAATTTGAGCAGTTTAACCTTTCAAAAACTGCATAAGTCAGAATATTAGGTTATTCTTATGCATCATATACGTTGAAAAAAATTAATTTCATCTCTAGCAACCACCTTTCTCCCATTTGTGGTTTGGATGTGAACATCTTGGCCATCTATCCGGTTTACTTGTCCATCAACCCAAGCCAAGACTGGATCCTCAACCCATACATGAGAACCAACAATGATGTTAACTGGTGATGCCTGCACGATGAGGAAAAAAAAAATCGTTGGACATCTTTTTGCAAAATAATAGCTCAGTCATGTGGTTAGTGGTTCCCCATGCTCACAGTCAACCAACTGTCTTCACTGAGAATATTAATACCTTGTTTGAATTTAGTTCTTTC